TTGAGGCGCGGGTGGGTTAAAATGAGTCAACATCACTAATTTTGAACCCCGTTTCCTCGTTAACATTTCCATTCAGAAAAAGTCTCACCCTCGGTTTACTTTCTCCTTCGTTTACTCCTTCGTCAAGAAGTGAACTTTTACAAGCCCCATTTCGGGTTTCGTTCTTGCTGTCGATACCACCTGCACCAAAAACCCAAATAGCACAAACGGTCTGGAAAACAAAAGCCCCAACCAACCACAACCCGTATTTCAAGATTTGATCTTTAGCTAATATACCAACGTTTCCATCAAAACTAGCCGCCGCCGCCGCCGCCGCCGAAGACGAAACCTCGACTTCCGTCAATTCTTCGATTTTTTCAGCTTCTGAGTTTTCGTACTTGCCGGCTTCCTCTAATTCAAGAATAGAACCAGGCTCTTCGATTTCATGGAGGGGTGGAGAATTGATGGGAGCTACTGGGTTTGCAGGGGGGAGAGGGAGATTGGGGATAATTGGGTTTTTTAGGGTTTTGAGGATTTTGTGGCGGAGGTGGTTTTTTCTCCTGGTGGGTTTAGCGGCGGGTAATGCAGCGGAGAAGCTGGAAACGGATAAAACGGGTCTTCTGTGATTCAGTGTTTCGGAGCTGAACCGGCGGCAGCGGTTTGTGGTGGTGGCGGTGGCGTAGTGTAGAGCCGCCATTTTGCCATGGAAGGTCCAACAGTACAACGAAGTAGAGTGAGTGGTAAAAAACCAATTGAGCTAAGAAAAAATTAAGGAAAAAAAACCCAATTTTGAAAAATTAAAATTGAGGTGAAAAATATAGGGCAACCCCACGGCCACGTGTCACTTCCCAAAACCAGCCGAAAAGACACACCTACACACACAACACCAAAGGGACCAAGAAATCCATCTTCACCAACAAAACAACCTCGTTTCACCACCACCAATCAATGACCAAACAAAAGGGACCAAACTGCAAATAGCAAAAAACACAAAACAAACACAAGAAACCAAAAATCTTCAACAAGAACCCCCCGAAAAGACAAACCCTAACACACCACACACCAAACCACAAAAAAAACCCCATCTTTTTTTCCTCTGTTTTCTCAGTCACATTCTTGAAACAGGGCATAAAATTAAACAAAAACATGCATACAAAAAGAGTATCTTTAACCTAAAAAGCTTGCTGCTTTAATGGAGTCAAGCCTCCACGGTGTCCCCATTTCAGCCACACAGACTTTATCAGGTATAAGAGCTCCTCTTACTGTAGATGAATCTGATTTCGATTACTCTGCTTCATCGAAAAGCCGTAGAAACAGCACCACTAGTAGCTATTACAGTGGCAGTGAGCTCGATTCCTCCGAGGATTTTGTCGGCAGTGAAGATAATTTTGTAACCGCCTCCGACCCAAATGAGGAAATTCATCAAGAAACTAACTTTCTTGAAAAAAATGCATTTTCCAGCCCTCCTTTGGTTAGCCCAAATAGGGGTGTTGGTAGTGGGAATGTGGTTTTCCGACCGGTGGTTCGGAACCTAGACGAAAGAATTAGTAATGCTGATGATTCTGAAGATGAGGGTTATGTTTTGAGTAATGCCGATTCGAGGCCGATTGTGGCTGTAATGGATGGGGAGGTTTCGAAAGATGGGGCAGCGCCATTTGTTGAATTTAAAAGTCCGGTTCTGCAAAAGCTGCGTATTCCGATTGCTCAAGTATCGGGTGAGTGGGAGAGTGATGATGACTCTCACAGCAACGAGGTTTTGGAAGATGGAGATTCTCGGGTATTGTGCGGGTCCCGAGTATTGAAGTTCTGCATAGAATTAATAGTGCCCTCAAGGTTAGAATGGTGGAGAGTGATGAAGATAGTGATTATGAGGCTGATAAGATGGTGGAGAAAGTGGACTTTGTTGTGGATTCGAAAGATGGAGAGGGGTATTTTGGTCCGGATGAAAGTGTTCGTCGTGTCGTATCGTTAGATACGATCCAAGATGAAGACCTCACTTTGAAAAATAGTGATGGCGGGGTTGAAAATGTGGTGGAGAAAATGGGCTTTGGTGAGGACTTAAAAGATGGAGAGGGGCATTTTGGTCCGGAGGAAAGTGTTCATTATGTCGTATCATTAGATATGATCCAAGATGAAGACCTTAATCTGAATAATAGTGATTGTGGGGCTGAAATTTCGGTGGAGAAAATGGACTTCGTTGAGGACTTAAAAGATGAAGAGAGGTATCTTGGTCCGCAGGAAAGTGTTCGTGGTGTCGTATCATTAGTTATGATCCAAGATAAAGGCCCTAATTTCAAAAATAGTGATTGTGGAGCTGAAAATTTGGTGGAGAAAATCGACTTTGGTGAAGACTTAAAAGATGAAGAGGGGTATCTTGGTCCGGAGGAAAGTACTCGCCTTGCCCGTATCATTAGATATGATCCAAGATAAAGGCCTTAATTTCGATCAAGAAGCTGCAG